CTTAAGTTGAAGGTAGGAGTAATCGTTTTTAGAGTGGTGGTGCTGCTGCTGCTGCTGCTGCTGCTGCTGCTGCTGCTGCTGCTACTGCTGCTACTACTACTACTACTACTACTACTACTACTATTTCTTCTTCTTCTTACTACTGCTGCTACTACTACTACTACTACTACTACTACTCCTGCCGCGTGTGATCGAAATCCCACGCCATCTAATCTCAATGTTGATAAACACAAAAGGGTTATGCAGGAATTCGGCCATTCGCACACATGCCCTTGTTGACAACGTTTCGACAGTGAACAGAAAAAGTCCGGGCTTTGGAAAGGATGGCTGGCGCAAGAAAACTGAAGCAGAATTTCGTCCATCAAGAGCGTGGTGTACTCCTCCTACCAGCACCGCGAACAGTGCTGTCATCACTGTCATCGTCACTCTTGGGAGAGGCACCTGCGGTTGACTCGAAGGAAAAAGCGAAGCCGGCGACAACACGAAGCAGCAGGCAGCACACGATGAAGGGAGCCCCATCGCCTGGGTTTGGCAAACAAGCGCAGTCAGGCCAAGTCAAGCCATCAGAAACGAACCAACGACCTACGATCAGTCTCAAGCTAGCCGCCCACGTACCAGCAGAGGCCGTTCAGAATGTTGGCCATACCACCAAGGAAATTCCCAGCAACCAAGATGGGCTTGCTCCCGGATCTCACCAGCAGCCGGGTCCTCAGAGTGTCATTGCTTCAGGACTTGGCAGTCTGTCTTGAAGATTGCAAGCTCCACAGAACAAGGCGGAAGAGGGCCATGTTCAGGAAGATTCTACAACTGCGAGCCTTCTCCAGATGTGGGCTTCAGGCTCCTTGCAGCTCAGAGGCGTGATGGGCGTGCCGACCATTGTGGCAAGCTCGAAGATCGAGAAGATCCAGCCCAAGGCAGTGCCCTGCACCATGGGATACTGTAACCCTGTTTAACAATAATAATAATAGTAATAATAATAACAATAATACGAGCAATAATAATAATACTGCTTTGGGACGGCAGGGGAAAAGGCCGCGCCCCCGACGAGCCCATAAGCAGACCGACCAGAAGACGACCATAGATGTGATGATGATGATAATGATGATGATGATGATGGTGATGGTGATGGTGATGGATCGATGTGGGTCGATGGTGGGGACGTTGAAGATATTGCGCGTTGCTTGACAGCGGTGGTGATGATGGATGGTGATGGTGATGGTGATGTGGCGATGATGATGGTGATGATGATGATGGTGGCTGTGATGATGATGATGATGATGGCGATGAAGATATGTGCTGATGCGTTTGTGTTCGATGTTGCCTTTGCTGATGAAGATGGCTGTTGCCATACCAACGGTGAGAACACTGACGTTGACGACAGTAACGATTTGCACTGGTGCTGCTGGTCATAAAGCTGAAGAGGCTGATGGTGACGCTGATCGCCATCAGCAGCAGCATCGCCGTCGTCGTCAACATCCCGATGTCGATGAAAATGAGGCTGATCATGTTGATATATGCTGATGCAGGTGGTGATTCTTGGCGTCAGTGATGCTGGTGCTTATGGTGAAGACTGAGAACATGGTGCTGATGATGATGACCTTGAAGTGGAGACTGTTCTGTTTGGAGGTTTGGAGAGCATCATTATGGCGGCTCACCCTGCATCCTAAAGACCCCCCACCGACCCACCCCAAACCACACCCACCCAGCCCGAAGCATCACCCACCACCCACCCACCCCCACCCCCACCCCCACCCCCACCCACCCACCCACCCCAAACCACACCCACCCACCCCAAACGATCACCCACCGACTGTAGAGCCCCAGAACCCCTGCCTGGACGCCCTTCTCCTTTGCCTCTGCCGGAAAAAACGGGGCGATGATGGAGAGCCCCAGCTGGCCACAGAAGGTTCCGATCACGATCAAAGCAAAGATGCCTGCAGCTCGAAAAGGGAGGCTCGGACTCTCAGAAGATTTGAGGTCAGAACCTGCTTCTGAAATACTGTGACCACGTTCCAGCTGAGTCGATGCTAGGCCCTGCTAGGCCTTCAACGAGTTCTATGATTCGGCTCGAACCGTTGAACTCTGTGCTTTCCAACCAACCCCTGAACACTAATTGTCACCCAAATCACGGTCTCGGTGAGGGGGCGGAGTGAACTCCTCCTCGCCACAGGTGCTGCCTGGTCCAATTGGGGCTGAATCTTATGTTCTAAAGGCTCCCATGTACCCATAATAGTGTATAGTCTCATATATAATCGGGTCTGCAGGCTTCTATGTGTGTCATTGTGACACTCCGCCAGTCAGCCAATCTGTCTGTCTGTCAGTCAGTCCCAAAGTGAGTGAATGTCTCTGTCCGTCCGTCTTTCGGTCGGCAGTGGTGTTTCTATGTGCATGCGCGCGCAGTGCCCGAGATTTCTTTGTGTATTCAGCAGCAGATACCTGGCTCAGGCTCATGTGAGGCGTACCTTCACTTTGATCAAGGCCGACGCATCGGTATGGGGAGCGTGATCACTCGGTGCAATCTGAATCACTTCACTGTGGGTGAGCTAGAGAGAGAGCGACAGAGAGAGAGAGAGAGAGAGAGGGAGACAGACAGACAAAGAGTATCTGCGCCCGTGTATGTCTTTGCCTTTGCCTGACTGGCTGTCTGTTCGTCTCTCTTCCTCTCCGTCAAGCTTTGGCCATCCTCGCTTGTAACTAGCAGGTGAGGAAAGTAAATCTCCGAGCTTTCGGATTCCAGAGTACAAGCTTCAACGTGGGACGGCGTAGGGTCTAGCCTTCGAACCCTTGGGTCAAGAAGCTTCACGGTTGCGGGCTTCGGGTTTCAAGCTCTCATACCTGTGGACCTGCAACAATGGTAATAGTAGGTTGACAAGGATCCAACACGGCGCTCTAAACAGCAGAAGTTTCAGCTAGTCCTGTTTTGGAGGAAAGGGGGTGGTCCAACAGCCATGAAAGGCGTGAAGATGTGTAAAGGCTTAGGATTTGGGGTTTAGGGATTTCAGGGCTTAGGGCGTTTAGGGTTGAGGGTTTGGGGGGTTCCCAGGCACAGGGTTTGAGGGATGATGTGCGAGATTTTTGTCTTTGGTCTGGCCTTCCCCTTGCCCTGGGGCCGAGGAAACCTCCACAGCCGACATGGCTCCGTCAAGTCCGGCGGTGCACCCAAAACCTTGCCAACTCTACTGGACTTCACCATGCGACGGTGCGATTCGAAGAACTGGTCCTGGCTCCGAAGCAGAACCAACACTAATAGCACTAGCCCTCACTTATTCAATGAGAGGTGCAGCAGACATGGTTTCGTCCCAGTTTCGTCCTGACAACAGTGCATGTGGAACCGCAAGCGAGCTTAACAGGACGGCGGCGATAGAGGCACATGTGGGTTGCACCATCAGGAGATGTACCGCGAGGATAACGTCCAGCATGTTCACTCATATACACACTCGTTTGCTCTACGGTGCTGTTGACCTCAAATGCCATATTATGTTGTTCGGCTTAGCCTAGGTTATACCAGGCTCCATTGACTAGATCGTGCCCACACAAACACATGGGTGCATGTGTACAATATGTGTAATATATATATATATATACAGGCACACACACATACACATATATATATATATGCATATATAAGTACATACATACATACATACATACATACATACATACAGACATACATACATACATACATGCGTACACAATCATACACAGCCATACACAGCCATACACAATCATACACAATCATACATGCACATACATACGCCGCACACATACACACACGCATACATGCATACATGCATACATGCATACATGCATACATGCATGCATACATGCATACATGCATACATGCATACATGCATACATGCATACATACATCCATCCATCCATTCATCCATACATACATACATACATACATACATACATACACACATACATACATAAACACACACACACATGTAAACATATATGCACATGTGTTTAGGTGTGTATGTACATGTTGACATTCTCACAACATGCATAGGCATCGCTCAACAAGGACGTAGGAGCCAGAAGATCAATGGCCCGTGTTTGCAGCTGAAAGTCTGGCCACACCGTACTCAGGAGTCTTGCAGCTAAGTCTAGGGCTCAATGACCAGGGCTTCAAAAGTTTTGGGACTGGTGCCTGGGCTCAAGCATGGTTAGAGTTTGCTGCGCATCTCCCAAACCGAAGCATTGCTAAACCCGAACATGCCGAAAAATCCTAAAGCTCCTCATCCTGAACGAGGGGCCCCTCCTTTTGCCACCAGTGAATGGGTCCAGAAGCGTTGTGGCCGTGGTGCGCCGTGTTTCACACGGGTTTGGTCGCAGCATGGCATTGCTCCACAGGTACAGTAGAACTGGCATGAAGTGTGAAAGGTTGAGGGTTCAAGGGTTCTGAGGTGAGCTACTTCTGAGTGCTCCGCACGTTCAAGAGCTCAAGGCGTGAAATCGGATGAAAGTTGAGCTGTGGATTCCATAGTGACACAAGTAATCAACAAAGTGCTCGAAAAACACTGGTCAAAGTGAGCGGAGAAACATTTCGGAGGGACCCCCACACGGGTTTGGCGACATATCGTGGATACTTCAAAGCTTGCGGCGACAAAAAGCTGATGCAGACCCCGCATGAACAAACCCACCCACCTTCGTAAGGACTATCCTCAAAGTTAACCAGGACTCAAGAATAATACCCTCGCAAGCCGAACTCACTTGAGAACAACGACTCCTGCATGAGCAGTGCTGAGCTGCGAAGAAGATGGCTACAGCCATGATCCTCTTCAAGAGCATGGTGCCAAGAACGGTTTAGGGTTTATCGATAAAGGGCCCAGGATAGATGATAGGGTGCCGATGCAATTCGGCAGACTTGAAGATTTGAAGAACATGAACCAGAATGAACGACAAATGAATATCCAGCTTTCTCTTGAGTTCATTGTTTGGGGGTAGCTGGACACCTACACCCCATAAAGCCTCGAATTCGGAAAGCTTCCGGACTTTGCCGTGGCCTGCCGGGCTTTGCCGCGCGCTTAGCTTGGCGAGCCAATCATGGCACTGGGCAGTTCACCATTGTGAGGTGCCCAGTCTGCCGGGCTTGGGGGTTGGGTCCCTCAAGTCTCGCAGCCTTCGGTGGGGTCTGAGTCTAAGCACAGAGCCATACAATGCAATGCCTTCGGCGATCGTGACATGGCAACAAGAAGACTTCTAGCAGCCTCAGGACCAGCACCCGGTTTAAGTGCCCCCTGATACCGCGTCGTCCAACCAGAACCAAAAGCTTCGCTCTGAACAGTCACTTCAAACTCACTGGCTTCTTCCCAGCCGCCTCACTCCGACTCCTTGCGCCTGATGCAAGTGTCGCAGGGAATACACTCGCTGCCGGACGGCGCATCATACCCGTAGCGACAAACTGTAGCCTGTTCTGCATACGTGCCACAACAAAGCAAAGCGGAGGCAACTGGCCTGATTTTCTGGATACGGTCCTCAGGATTTCAAGCAACGAACACACGGCCGGGGCACCGACATTAGCGGTCTGGGTCTATGGTCTATGTCGACATTCAGGTTCGCGGCTGAGGACTTATGAAGGACTGTCTTGGCAGTAAAGGATGTTAAGGAGAGCCGACCTATTATGTTGAACACATCCCAAATCCACCAGATCCCTGCCACTGCTCTCAAGCGACTGACTTTTCCCTCTTGCTGGTCATCCGCTTGAAATCCACGGAGACCTTCAGGGAAGCAGGAGGTAAGAGCTAAGCTGAACTCTCCTCAGGGTTTTCCGGTCGACGGGCCTCAAAGCCCTGCGTCCTCACGTTGACACGGTCCCTGGCTGCGGCTTGAGATTGCGGTGCAGACCAAATTTGGTTTGCTGGCTTGTTTGGGCTTGGGGGTTTGCTGTTAAGGTTCTCCAGCCTGGCACCTGCCTCCAAAGTTCTTCGGACGACCCACAAGAGAAACATGGCAAATGCCCAAGATGGGTGACCCTAGGCTCACACCCAAGAAAATCACAGCTGTAACATCTGCCGCTGGACTCTAGTACCAGAGTCCAGATTTGTTGGATGAACCACTAACAAACTCCATCTACTGAACCATAGTCGTCACACAAGCACCGACAATGGCTCGAAGGTGAAGTGTTCTTCTCCCTCCGACCCCTGGCTACATTCTTTTGGAAGATGCTTTGCACCACATGATGCCGCCGGCCTGCCGCCCTTGAGGAACTCCTGGGGCGCTCGGCTAGGGTACGACTGCATCTACAGGCTACCATAAGCTTTGCGCATCCTTGCTGCCGGTACAATAGCTAGGTGTTGACATTTAAGCCTTGGCCCGGGATGGGGACAATCAGTTTCCGCCCTCAACCCTAGCAAGAAAGTCCGCGCAGTCTAGATCGCAAGTCACTCCTCGATACTCAACTTTGAACAGGCGGCCCCGGCACGCTTCGCGAGATGATAGGTTCAGTCGGAGATTTGATTTGCGATTACAGCTTTAGACAACTACTCTGTAACTGCTCGTCTATGCAATTTTTTGTGGGGCTGCGGCTCTGCCAGTACTCAGGAGCACCCGATTCACAAAGCCAAGGCAGTCATTGGCGGACTCAGAGTAGAGTCCTGGTATTTCCGCTCAATGTAAGACTGGCAGTCTCCATCATATGCCTCGGCGCAAACCATACGGGTCTGAAAAAATGTGACCATATTCCTTTAGTGTCGCGGCTCTTGGTGCATTGTAGTAAGCCTGGCGCCGCAAAAAATATGATGAACAATAAAATAATAACTAATCAATAACAATAACAAGAATCGTAGTAATCATAACAATAACAAATAAATACATTAACAAATTAAATAAACAAATATGTAAAGTAGAGAGAGAGAGAGAGAGAGAGAGAGAGTCCCCTGTATTGGCCAACTCCTCTGAGGAGTCCGAAACCTGATGTCACTGTATCTGGCCTGTCTTGCAAGGCGCATCCTCAAGCTAAGACTGAGCAGCTTTCGAATTGGGAGGTTTAGGGGTTCTGGGCTTAGGGTTTAGGGTTGTCTGTCCAAAACACCTGCGAAGAAACCAAAACGACCCTCCATGCCCCTTTAATTCCCTTTTTTGCCGAAAACCAGCTTGCATCCACTCGATTCCCTCCTTTGCACCGCCCTCATTTCCTGCAACTGATAAATACCTGGCCAAGGCGCAGAAAAGTGGTCCTTCCACTCATACTCCCAGGTCACCCGGCCGTGCCTACCTCCGCCTGTGGGTAGGGTGCTTGCTTTCGTCAAGCATTCCTGGACTTGCTTTTGCCCTCGACCCTACCTCAACCATGGCTGTTGGGGCATTGCTTCTGAGATGAAGGTGCCAGCCTGTCTCTGCAGTGCCCGGCAGCGTGCCACCCACGAGTGGCCTGAAAACAGAGAAGCTTTCAGATCTGGCTTTTGAGTTGAAATTAAACCTCTATGCTCTTTATGGAAAACCATACCTAACTTGCCTCACAATCTGTAGTATGCTTGTCTTGAATTCTGACCATGAACTCAACGATCGATCCGCATGCTCTCGAAGCATGAGAATGGTGCCTCCCATCAGCCTACAGCGCAGTACTTCGGAAGTGTGAGGGATACTACGGCTGCACTCTGGACTTTAAGCTTATGGAACTCTTAGAAGGGTCGTTCTCCAAATTAGGGCCCCTTTTTAGGTCCCCAACGGCACCCTTATGAAAAGGCACCTAAAAGGGAGCCCGAATTTAGAGAACTACCTTTATATAGCTAGTCAGGACCCCAAATTCTGGACCTCTAACCTTTCATCCTCCAGCCCTGAACCCTCACCCCTCCCTCTCCCTCCAAGGCACCCGGAGCGTCGTCCCTTCATGGGATCAAACAACAGATGCCCCTTAGAACCGGGCCTTTGTGTTCCCTTCTGGCACCTCAACAGAACCCCTACAAAAGAAAAAAAAAACTATACTACCCAAAAGACCCCAAACTCCATACAGTATCCCTACACGCCCCAAACCAAGTACAATAACCCTAAATCACCGAAAACCCCAGACAGTACCGCTAAAAGAAACCCAGATTCGTTTTGGCTGCTCCGTTACCCTAAACCCTAAACCCTAACCCGTTTCGGTTGCTCCTAAACCCTAAACCCTAAACCCGTTTTGGTTGCTCCG